GTCTAGTAAAGGTAATATTTTAATAAGATTATTTTATCCCCAAAATGTAATTGTATTAGTTGTGGAAGGTCTATGAAGGAAAAGAAGAGAAAGAATTTGTAGGTGATCAGACATATCCTTGTGTCTGTTGTATATGTGGTATAGTTTACTTTCATCTCTTATTGATGGCTTGCAGACGTTTTCAGATGTACATTGGATTAAGTTGGGGAATGTGTTGGAAAAAAGTTTGAATGCATAAAATGAAATTCCTGATATTGAAGATCTCATGCAAAGCTAGCAATGAACCTATGATTTGAAAATCTTACTGAGGGCCAGTGCCATGACTCACTTGATTAATCTTCTGCCTGTGGCACTGGCATCCCATATGGGTACCGGGTTCTAATCCTGGTCACTCCTCTTCCAGTCCAGCTCTCTGCTGTGGCCCGGGAGTGCAGTGGAGGATGGCCCAAGTCCTTGGGCCCCTGCACCCCATGGGAGACTAGGAGAAGCACCTGGCTCCTGCCTTCGGATTGGTGCAGCGCCGGCCGTAGCGGCCATTTGGGGAGTGAACCAACAGAAGAAAGACCTTTCTCTCTGTCTCTCTTTCTCTGTCTATAACTCTGTCAAATAAATTAAAAAAGAAAATCTTACTGAAATTATTCTCTAACTTAAAGGTTGTCAAAAGAGAGTAAATTCTAAATGAACTGTGAAATTTTATCGTATGTATCTTACTAGATAACCTTACGTTCTGATTGAGGATAGCTTTTATAGTATTAAAGGAAGGATACTTAATTCCAACTACATACTTCTACTTCTCGGGAGTCAGGGAGACTTCTATGTTCCCTCTGACATCTGATGCAGGTGCTGCATTTATTAAGTGCTTAATGATTACACATTGGGCTTGAGCTGATGCTCTGTAGGAAGCCAGAGATTTCCAAAATGACTTCAGTTCAAGTTCCAGTGACTTAGGGAACTCAATAAAATCAGTTTAAGAATTGATAATGTAATCGCCTTATTAATACTGCACACCTTTTTATTCTACAGCACGGTGCCTTGCAAGCAGCTATACAGAGAATAGTTTCCTAAAGCATTCAGTTGCAAGATTGTCATGATTATCTCTATAGGTGAGTTCTTATTAATTCAGAAGTTAGTATGTTTACATACTTTAGGCAATCTAATTGCTCACATTATAAAGATGTCTGAGTTTTGCTTTCAAACTCAGAGCTGGAATTCAAAAAAAGTTTAAAAATGATCTTCCAGAAGCAGTTTTCATCTTGAAATTTCTTTGTCATTTCATCCCCAGTTGGTATTAGTCTCTCCACTAGTTATTGACTAAAATTAATGTGAAAATGTGATTTTGTTGACTTGTAAAAGAATGTCTAATGTTTAAAAGAAGTGGCATAATTATACTAAATGTTTGAGAGCACCTAAATTAGAGGTATTTATGCACTAATATGTATAATATAAATTAAGAATTTACCAAGTTTCAAGGAATCACACAGGTAAGTTATTTTTTAATGTTATTTGTTATACAAGTTTGAAGTATTCATATATACAGATTTAGGAACATAGTGATACTCCCCCCCCTCCTCCTGCCCACACTCAAACCCTTCTTCCTCCCTCTCCCATTCCCACTCTTAATTTTTACAAATATCCATATTCAATTCACTTAATGATCATAAACTTAACCCTACACAAGATAAAAGACTTCAACAAATAGTATGAAGAAGAAAACATTGTTCCTTAACAGAACACACAAGTGCTGTAAACAATCATCAAATCTCAAAATGTCCATTTCACTCTGATATATTACATTTTACACACTCTATTAATTACCCCTGATCAGGTAAACCATATGATATTTGTCTTTTTGTACTGTCTAATTTCATTAAGTATATTGGTTTCCAGTTGAATCCATTTTTTTTTAATAGCTTAGTACTCTGTTGTGTATATATACCATGATTTCTTTCTTTTTTTTTTTTTTTTTTTTTGTTATTGACAGGCAGAGTGGACAGTGAGAGAGAGAGGCAGAGAGAAAGGTCTTCCTTTGCCGTTGGTTCACCCTCCAATGGCCGCTGCAGCCGGCGCGCTGCAGCCAGCGCACCACGCTGATCCGAAGGCAGGAGCCAGGTGCTTCTCCTGGTCTCCCATGGGGTGCAGGGCCCAAGCATTTGGGCCATCCTCCACTGCACTCCCTGGCCACAGCAGAGAGCTGGCCTAGAAGAGGGGCAACCGGGACAGAATCCAGCGCCCCGACCGGGACTAGAACCCGGTGTGCCAGCGCTGCTAGGCGGAGGATTAGCCTAGTGAGCTGCGGCGCCGGCCTATATCATGATGTCTTTATCCAGTCATTGGTTGACAGAAGTTTGGGTTGATTCCATATCTTAGCTATTGTGAATTGAGCTGCAGTAAACATGGGGGTACAGATAACTCTTACATATGCTGATTTCATTTCCTTTGGGTAAATTCCCAGAAGTGGGATGGCTGGGTCCTGTGTTAAGTCTATACTCATATTTCTGAGGTATCTCCATACTGTCACCCACAGTGGCTGCACCAGTTTATATTCTCGCCCAACAGTGGACCAAGGTACCCTTTCCTCCACATCCTCACCAGCATTTATTTGTTGATTTCTGTATCAGAGACATTCTAACTGGGGTGAGGTGAAACCTTATTATGGTTTTGATTTTGATTTTTCTGATGGCTAGAGATCCTGAATATATTTTCAAGTTTCTGTAGGCCATTTGAACTTCCTCTTTTTTTAAGATTTATTTATGTATTTGAAAGTCAGAGTTACACAAAGAGAGGAGAGACAGAGAGAGAGAGAGAGAGAGAGAGAGAGGTCTTCCCTCTGATGGTTCACTCGCCAATTGGCCAGAGCTGTGCCGATCCAAAGCCAGGAGCTTCCTCCCCAAATGGCTGCAATGCCTGGAGCTGTGCTGATCCGAAGCCAGGAGCCAGGAGCTTCTTCCAGGTCTCCCACGTGGTGCAGGGGCCCAAGGACTTGGGCCATCTTCTACTGATTTCCCAGGCCATAGCAGAGAGCTGGATCAGAAGAGGAGCAGCTGGGACTAGACTTGTGCCCATATGGGATGCCGGCGCTTCAGGCCAGGGCGTTAACCCACTGTGCCACAGCGCTGACCCCTTGAATTTCCTCTCTTGAAAAGTGCCTGTTCAAGTTCTTTGTCCACTTCTTAACTGGATTGTTTGTTGTTGTTGAATTCCTTGAGCTCTTTATAGATTCTGGATGTTAATCCTTTATCAGTTGTGTAGTTTGCCACTGTTTTCTCCCCTTCTGTGGGTTGCCTCCTGACTTTACTGAGTGTTCTATTTGCAGTACCGAAGCTCCTCAGCTTGATATAATCCAATGTGCCAATGTCTTTCATTTCCTGTGCTTCTTAGACCTTTTCCAAGAAGTCTTTGCCTAAGCCAATGTCTTGCAGAGTTTCTCCTAATGTCCTCTAGTAATTTTTGGTATCGTGTCATAGATGTCAGTGTTTGATCTATTTTGAGTGGGTTTTTGTGTAAACTATAAGGAAGTGGTCTAGTTTCATACTTCTGCGTGTGGAGATCCAGTTTTCCCAGCACTACTTTCAGAAGAGACTATTTTCAACTACAGCTCCTGAGAGAGAAATGTGTTGTTGAAACATTGTAGAAGCAAAATTAACAGATGAGAATTTGAACTGAAGAAGAATTCGGTACTGGGTATAAGTAATTTCATACAGTATTTTCTAAGAAAGCTGAGCTACTTGGGATACTAATTTGAGATTCGCAGACTCACAAAAATGCTTTGTGACCACATCACTTTGGGAAAGGGCTGGCTGATAGACTACAAAATATTTGGTTGATAGAAACCTTTATTTTCTTTGAGTATATTTAAAGAATATTTCATGTGACTAACTTTGAAAGAATAAAATAAAAGGAAGCAAGTATTGATTACTTTAGGAGTTTGGGGCCTAGATTCATGGGCTTGAGAATTTTTGTTGATTAAATTACTCAGTATTGTATGCATAGATAACATGTCATGATCCTAAAAGCTGTGTAACAAACCAGATCTTTTGTATCCATTTATTATTTTTATGACCCTCAATGTTTTACTTAAACTTCATGAATTTTAGTTCTCGTTGGTAACAAAAAACAGACAATAATACTATTTGTCTGATATATTCATGTAACTTCTAAGTGAAGCGATGCATGTGGTGAATACATAATTTTTATAAACCACGTAAAAATTTTAAATATTATTTTTATTTCTTTTTTTTGATAGGCAGAGTTAGACACACAGAGAGAGAGAAAGAAAGGTCTTTCTTCCGTTGGTTCACCCCCCCAATTGGCCGCTATGGCCAGCGCACTGTGCTGATCCGAAGCCAGGAGCCATGTGCTTCCTCCTGGTCTTCCATGCGGGTGCAGAGCCCAAGCACTTGGGCCATCCTCCACTGCACTCCCGGGCCACAGCAAAGAGCTGGACTGGAAGAGGGGCAACCGGAACAGAATCTGGCGCCCGACCGGGACTAGAACCTGGGGTGCTGGCGCCTCAGGCAGAGGATTACCCTAGTGAGCCACAGCACCGGCCAATATTATTTTTATGTTCATAAATGTATAGATAGACACATGTTCATGAAATAATAGTTTTTCTCTCTCGTACTTTATGGTGAAGTTGTGTGAAAAGATTACTTCTGCAGGGGCTGGCGCCATGGCTCACTTGGTTAATCCTCTGCCTGTGGCGCCGGCATCTCATATGAGCTCCGGGTTCTAGTCCCAGCTGCTCCTCTTCCAGTCTAGCTCTCTGCTGTGGCCCGGGAGGGCAGTGGAGGATGGCCGAAGTGCTTGCGCCCCTGCACCCGCATGGAAGACCAGGAGGAAGCACATGGCTCCTGGCTTCGGATCAGCACAGTGAGCTGGCCATAGCGGCCAATTGGGGGGTGAACCAATGGAAGGAAGACCTTTCTTTCTCTCTCTCTGTCTGGCAGAAGCACCTGGCTCCTGGCTTTGGATCGGCACAGCACCAGCCAAGGCGGCTTTTAGGGAGTGAACCAATGGAAGGAAGACCTTTCTCTCTGCCTCTCTCTCTATAACTCTGTCAAATTAAAAAAAAAATTACCTAAATTTTTAGGTGGCACAAATGGTAATATTTTTCTCCAATTTCCTAATTCTAGATTTTCCTTTTTCTGATAAGTTTTAAGTACATATGACTTACTTCTGAGTCTTCTTGCCTGTTTTCTTCTCTTTTTATTTAGTACTTTCTCTGCATCTGTTGTCCCTGTCCAGTTCCCCTGGGAGTCCATTCTTCATCAAATTTTTCTCAGAATGGAGCTTTGTCCTAGAAGTGAGCCACAGCTGGTTAGTGCTGCTGAAGTTCACACTACTTCTCCACCTTCAGAAATTATCTCAATGCGCTACACTCACCTGCTGTTAGGATCTATTAACCCCACACACTTCACTCACTGTTCTCAAATTGGTTCACCGAGAGTTTGGGTGAACAACCAACTGTTATTTTCAAGATTTTAGGTTTTCCAGAGATTCTGTTCCTTCTCTCTCCTCCTTCATGTACAAATAGTGAGTTCATATAGGTTTTGAAATTGGTGGTTTTGCCACTCCCACTCAAATTAGGTCATATAAGGATATCTTTCACCTAATATCATTAAATGTATTTTCCATGACTTTTTGGTTGTGTTGTCCTAGTTTGTTTTCTCCGCTGGTTCCCTTTGATTTTTATGGGAAAATTTAGACAACTAGGCTGTCACTTCTGCTTTCTTTCAAGAATCCCATTTCCTACAAGGTTTTGTTAAAATTCTCCCAATCTCCGTTCCTTATGTAGTCCAAGTTAGCACTTATGACAGGGTAACTATTATTACTTAGTAACAGTTTATTGAGTGATGCATAGGACCCAAGTACTTTATCAAGTCCTTGCAAAATAAAGACATGATGAATCTTGCCCTTGGATTGGAGAAAAGTCTAGTAGATGCTTAAAGAAATATATTTAATGTATTATGAAAGTGCACACAGATTCTTTTCTTTGTCAGCTGCTTCTCTTTCTTCAAGGCTTGCTTCAAATCTGCCCCCACCCTTTTTTTTCCTTAAACTTTTTTGCAACCCTTTGTTTCCCCCATCTCATCATTCCATCCCAAAAGTCACCTGTGCTTCCAGTCCTCTAGGCACTTCCTTTATACCCTTAGAATTAAAGTGTTAAAGGCAGATTTTTATTTTTCTTTCTCCACAACACAATTAAATATGTGCTACATTACTTTTGATTAAATATCTGTTGGATTAATGGTTCATTAATGTACATGTTTAAAGTCAGAAAAGGATAAGTAATTCCATTTGAAAATAAAAATCAAGCTTCACAAAACATTGATATGGGCTTTCAAATATTGAAGTAAACCATAAACATTTGGTAAAGAGGAAAATTATTTATGAAAATCGTAATCTTCCATTAGAAGTAGGTATTTAATAACTAGAGTTGGAATTACTCATTACAGAATATTCTATGCACACCAAATCCCCAGAAAATTAATGTTTTAAGGCACTTCTCTTTAGTGACTCACAAATGTTATTTTGAAAGTTCAAAATTCAATGAAACTATGAATTTATTATTGCCATAGTCAACACCTTGAGTCATTTGTGGGAATTGATAGTCAATTCGATTATCTGAATAACATTACTCTGTGTGGCTATAGCTATTTCACACACAAAAAATCCTCTTAAGCTTCTCTATTTCCTGAGTCCTTTAGGGATTTTGTAGACTAAGCTCATTTTTCCCAAAATGATTCAAAACCATTTTTTTCTTTCATAATACCTCTAAATTGATGCTCTTCTTTGAGACTTTCCCTCTATTGATCAGTGCCTGCTCATTCTTTCTTCCTAAATTTTTTTTTACAATGGCTTCCCCCGCATAACGTCCCTCCCACCTGCAACCCTCCCCTTTCCCACTCCCTCCCCCCTTCCATTCACATGAGGATTCATTTTCGATTCTCTTTATATACAGAAGATCAGTTTAGCATACATTAAGTAAAGATTTCAACAGTTTGCTCCCACACAGAAACATAAAGTGAAAAATAATAGATGATTTTTTAAATAAAAAGGCAGAAGGCTTAAATAAAGTAGATCTAATTTACATATATTGGGCATACTGCAGCCAAACTAAAAAATACTAGTAATACTATGAATGTAAGTTTAGAAAAGTTTATGAAATGAAAATTAAAGAATTTTTGAAACTATATTCCTTGGCTGTGGTGAACATTTGGGAAGGGAATCAGTAGATGGGATCTCTTTCTGTCTTTCAAATAAGTAAAACAAATAAGTACATATATTTTTAAATTTATTTATTTATTAGAAAGAGCTACACAGAGAGAGGAGAGGCAGAGAAAGAGAGAAGGGGGAGAGAGGAGGAGAGGAGTTTTCCATCTGCTGATTCACTCTCCAATTGGCCACAATGGCCAGAGCTGTGCTGATCCATAGCCAGGAGCTTCTTCTGGGTCTCCCATGCAGGTACAAGGGTCCAGGGACTTGGGCCATCTTCTGCTGCTTTCCCAGGCCACAGCAGAGAGCTGGATCGGAAGTGGAGCAGCAGGACTTGAACCGGCGCCAATATGGAATGCCGGCACTTCAGGCCAGGGCTTTAACCTGCTGCGCCACAGCATCAGCCCCTAAACTGTTTTCAACGTGAAATTTTCAGAGAATCTATTTCACATAGTATTCTAGAAATGAGTACTTTAAAATTAAAATGATTAGAAATATTGACATAAAGTAGATAACTTTAAATATATATTTCATGCATAGTAGAATAAATTAAAGACAAAAAGGAGACTATATGCTACTTAGTAGCTAAAATTGTCTTCTCAAAATCAAACAATGAAATTGTAAACATTAGGGAACAAACAGAAAATTTGCATGTAAAATATTTTTATAACAATTTGAAATATTTTCAGTTCTCTTATGGTTGAAATTTATATTGCCATTCTGAAAAATTTTTATAGCTAACACAGAATAAAGCAAAAGGAACAATGATGTGAGACTTTATATCTCCCCTTGGGTCCTCAAAAGCAGTGATTGTTTTCTGGGGGAAAGGTGTAATAGATGTGAGTTGCAGAGATATGTAATTACCATATAGACTAGGGTTTAAGTTGAAAGTATCAGTTTGAAATTATGGTTTATTTTATCCCCAAAAGTAATGTATCTTATATATTAAAAACCCCTAGCTCTGTTCACATAAAATGCCAGGGCACAATGCTATATCCAATACCAGTGATTGTCTCTAATAGCCAGACTGCAGTGCCATTTACTGCTAAAATAAAATAAACTCTCCTAGAGAAATCATTTACTTAGTCTGGAACAAAAAAATGGGTAAAAAGAACTTAGAAAATCTTCCTGTTTTATAATGCATAGATCCAACAGTAATACATATATACATATATATATTTTTTTCACTCTTTAATCCATTGGTTTTCAAAAGTGAAACTAATTTGTGATTTTTAAAAAAAACTATTATATATTATATATGAAATTTAACTGAAAAGTGATCTCTGTTAAATATAAGAGTGGGAATAAGAGAGGGAGGAGATGTACAATTTGGGACATGCTCAATCGGACTTGCCCCAAATGGTAGAGTTAGAAATGTGCCTGGGTATTCCAATTCAATCCCATCAAGGTGGCATGTACCAATGCCATCTCACTAGTCCAAGCGATCAATTTCAGTTCATAATTGATCATAATGATAGGATTAAGAATCAAAGGGATCACATAAACAAGACTAGTGTCTGCAAATACTAACTGATAGAATTAAAAAGGAGAGAATGATCCAACATGGGAAGTGGGATACACAGCAGACTCATAGAATGACAGATGTCCTAAACAGCACTCTGGCCTCAGAATCAGCCCTTAAGGCATTCTGATCTAGCTGAAGAGCCCATGAGAGTATTTTAGGCATGGAAAGCCAAGACACTCTGGAAAAAAAAAAATAAACAAAACACCTAAAAGAAAGATCTCTGCGAGTGAGATCCTAGTGGAAAGAACGGGCCATCAAAGAAGGAGGTACCTTTCTCTGAAGGGAGGAGAGAACTTCCACTTTGACTATGACCTTGTCTAAATAAGATCGGAGTTGGCAAACTTAAAAGGCTTCCATAGCCTTGGAAACTCATGACTAGAGCCTAGGGTGATTACTGACGCCATAAACAAGAGCGTCAATTTGTTCCATCAACAACAGGAGTCACTGTGCACTTACTCCTCATGTAGAATCTCTGTCCTTAATGTGTTGTTCAATGTGAATTTATGCTATAACTAGTATTCAAACAATATTTTACACTTTGTGTTTTGTGTGGGGGCAAACTGTTGAAATCTCTACTTAATATATACTAAATTGATCTTCTGTATATAAAGATAATTGAAAATGAATCTTGATGTGAATGGAATGGGAGAGGGAACGGGAGCTGGGAGGGTTGAGGGTGGGAGGGAAGTTATGGAGGGAAAAAGCCATTGTAATCCATAAGCTGCACTTTGGAAATTTATATTTGTTAAGTAAAAGTTAAAAAAAAGCTATTATATAGGAGGAAGTTTCATTTTCCTTTTTTGGTAGACATTTTAATATACATGAACACATCATACATGAAGCCATTTCAAAAAGTTCATGGTAAATTCAGTTAAAATATGAGTTATTACTGGTACAAAAACATTTTAAAGTACATGAATAGTTTTCTTATTTTTTTTTTTGACAGGCAGAGTGGACAGTGAGAGAGAGAGACAGAGAGAAAGGTCTTTCTTTTGCCGTTGGTTCACCCTCCAATGGCCGCCGCAGCCGGCGCACCGTGCTGATCCGATGGCAGGAGCCAGGTGCTTCTCCTGGTCTCCCATGGGGTGGAGGGCCCAAGCACTTGGGCCATCCTCCACTGCACTCCCGGGCCACAGCAGAGAGCTGGCCTGGAAGAGGGGCAACCGGGACAGAATCCGGCGCCCCGACCAAGACTAGAACCTGGTGTGCCGGCGCTGCTAGCCGGAGGATTAGCCTAGTGAGCTGTGGCACCGGCTGAGTAGTTTTCTTATATATATTCCACCTATGAAAAGAAATTTTTGCATCAAAATATTGCTTTCATCAAAATAATTTCATTTCATTTTATCATAGTTTGAAGTACCCCTATGTGTTGTGCAGCCACTTCTACAATTGGTATATAGGACACTCTATAACCCCCCAAATTCCTTACATCATCACTTTTTTTTTTATCACATCTATAATGTCTATAACTGTTGGAAACCACTGACATAGTCCCCGTCAGGAATATACTGTGGAGTGGGCATTTGACAAAGTGGATAATGTGCTGCCTGGGACCTACCATTCCATATTGCAGTACCTGGTTAGGAATCCAACTCCTTTGCTTTCTGCTCGTGTGAACCTCTGGAGCCAGCAGATGATGGCGTAGGTAGTTGATTTCCTGCCACCCATGTGAGACACCTGGATAGATTCCCAGCCTGGTCTGGTCCCAGCTGTTGCAGGCATTTGGGGTATGAATCAGCAGATGGAAGATCCTCTCTCTGCCATTTACAAAAATAATGTCAGAAAACAGATTTATATAGTATGTAATCTGTTAAGATTGGTTCTTTCACTAAGCATAATGTCTTTGAAATTTCTCCCAGTTGTTCCTCCCAATATATTTGTTCATCTTTTTATTGAGTATTTTTTTCATTTTAAATGATTTTATTGATATAAAGAGAACCAGTTTCATGTATTTCATGGGTAAAATTCTTCCCACCCTCTCCCTCCCTCTTTTCCCATTCTTCCTTCCTTTCTTATTTTTCTTTACTTTTTCAAAAACCTAATGTCAATCCACTCTATAATCATAGGCTTAATTTGTCACTAACCAAAATATTCAACAAGTAAAGTCTAAAGACCACACTTTCACGGGAGTGTAAACAAGGACTAAAAACAACATTCAGATCACATGATATCCATTTTATTCCTGCACATTTTTTTGTCATCTATATTAACTACAATGTATCAGAGAAAACATATTTGTCTGTTGGGAACTGGCTTATTTCACTAAGCAAAATGGTTTCCAGTTGCATCCATTTTGTTGCCAAAGACAGGATTTCTTTTTGTGTGTGTGTGTGTGTGTTTGAGTCGTAAGGCAGAGTGATACCTGAGATACTGTCAGATGATCTTGAGGATCCACAGAAACTGCGTTCTGTCAACATCAGGAAATGAGGAAAGGACACTGATCTTCAGAGACATAGCGTGACCCCTTGATTTCATCCTGGTGAGACTGAATCATGAACCCAGCAGAACTTGGGATCTGCAGAAACCACAAGGCAATAATAGGGCTGCTGTCTGAAGCCACTGCTAAGTTTGTGGTGATGTAACAGAGTGGTGTGAAACTCACAAACTCCTCTTCTCTTTTATGGAGGAGATTATGAAAATTTGTTATTCCTTTAAATGTTTGCTGAAGTTGACAGAAAACCTGAAGATTTTCCTTATGGGAAAAAAAATTAGGGTTTGGCTCTGTGGTATAGTAGGTTAAGCATCCCCCTGCAGGGGGTGCTGCATCCCATGTGAGCGCTGGTTGGTGTCCTGGCTGCCCCATTCATATCCAACTCCCTGTTGAAGGCCTGGGAAAGCAGTGGAGGATGGCCCAAGTACCACGTGGGAGACCCAGAAAAAGCTCCAGGATCCTGGCTTCAGACTGGCCCAGCTCCGTCTGTTGTGGCCAGAGGATGGAAGACCTCTTTTTCTCTCTGTTTCTCCCTCTGTCTCTAACGCTGCCTCTCAAATAATTCTTTTTAAAATTTTAAATAGAAATTCAACTGAGTTAAAGCAACTCAGGCTATTGCACCTTAGATGGTTGGTTGGTTTATTTATGTTCCTTTTTAGCTTATCCTTTCTGAGTAGTCAATCCATTTGATCTAAGTTTTAAAATTTATGCATCTGATTATTCTTCAATGTCTGTGGAAACTGTAGCAGTTCTATTAGTCTGCTTTTCTGTACTTCCTTAAAATGCCTGAGAGGAGCTTTTGGGGAAGGCCAGTCACAGTGGAAGTTACAGGGTCTGCTGGCCCCGGAGTCTGGTGTCAGGTGGAAGCTGGTTGTGGTGGGTGCAGAAGCACTGTCACACGCTGTACCGGGAAGCTGAACTTCAACTGACACACCTTGCACCGTGCCACGAGGGCAGGCCCCAAATCACGCACAGACCTCCCAGGGGCCCCACCTCTCAGATGCCATCCTTAGGTCAAGTCTCCACACTTACCAGTAATTAACACTAAGACAGCAGAGTTGGAACAACTGCATGAGTTTTGGGGGAACAAACCCTACTCAAGCCATACTAGTATACACTCTTTAATCCCTGATATTGGCAATTTGTATCTCATGGAAAGAGTGAACCTGGGATCATTTTAATGCAATATGGCAACACTTCTTTTCATTTGTGTTTATTCATTTACATTTACTGTTATGTTTATATATTTGAACATTGATTATTATGTTTTCCATTTTCCGCTGCTTTTTGTTACTCTATTTGTTTCTTGAGCTATTTGAATATTTTTAGTACTCCATTTTAATGTATTGATGGTGACTTTGGCTAAATCTCTCTAAGTATAATGAATTTCTTTTTTATTTTATTTAAAGATTTTATTTATTTATTTATTTGAAAATCAGATTTACAGAGATAGAGAAAGAGATCTTCTATCCACTGGTTCACTCCCCAAATGGCCATAATGGTCAGAGCTGACAGGCCAAAGCCAAAAGCCAGCAGCTTCCTCTGGGTCTCCCCTGTGGATGCAGAGGCCCTAGGACTTGGGCCAGTTTCTGCTCTCCTAGGTGCATTAGCTGGGATCTGGATTGGCAGTAAACAGCGGAGACCATATGAAATGCTGGTGCTGCAGGCAATGGCTTTACCTGCTACGCCACAATACTGGCCCCTATATAATATACTTCTACTAGTTTTAGAGATTATAAAACACTTAGTCATGTTAGCCATGTTGCAGGCGTCTTACTGCCATAAAGATCCCCTCACTCTTTGCCTTTTATGCTATCATTTTATTACCTAGTCAAATTCGCATACCCTGAAAATTCCATCTAACAGATATTCGCTATCAACCCTCAGACATGTTTCAAGAATTTGAGAGCAAAGTGGACTATTGTGTTTACCCAGACATTTGCTATTTCTGTCATTCTTTGTTTATGCCTGATCTTTTAAGTTATCTTGCATCATTTACCTGTTGTCTGAAGACTAATTTTAGCAATTATTTTTTACAACTCCGATAGTTATAAATTTGTGTTTTGTCTTCATCTGAGAATGTCTTTATTTCATTTTCATCTTTTTTTTTTTTTTTTTGACAGGCAGAGTGGACAGTGAGAGATGGAGAGAAAGGTCTTCCTTTTGCTGTTGGTTCACCCTCCAACGGCCACCGCAGCCAGCGCGCTGTGGCCAGCGCATCACGCTGATCCGAAGCCAGGAGCCAGGTGCTTCTCCTGGTCTCCCATGCGGGTGCAGGGCCCAAGGATTGGGCCATCCTCCACTGCACTCCCTGGCCACAGCAGAGAGCTGGCCTGGAAGAGGGGCAACCAGGACAGAATCCAGCGCCCTGACCGGGACTAGAACCCGGGGTGCCGGCGCCGCAAGGCGGAGGATTAGCCTAGTGAGCCACGGCACCGGCCATTTTCATCTTTGAAAGGTATTTTCCATAGATACAGAACTCTGAATTGATGATTTTCTTTGAATATGGATGAAAAAAAAGACTGTCACTTCTGGACCCATGGCCACTGATGAGAAATTGCAATTATGTGAATCATTGCTATTCTCTATATATAATAAGGCATTTCTCAAGCTATTTTTAAGATGGTTTCTTTGTCTTTAGTTATGAAATTTGAATATGGGTACCATGGGTGTCTTTGGCTCCATCTGTTTGAGATTTGCTCACTTCCTTGAATCTGATGGTTTTATGTCAGTTGAGAAACTTGAGAAATTTCTAGCCATTTAGTTTCAAACTTCTTTTGATCCATTATTGTGTTTTTCAGTTTTAAAAATTTAGTTCTTTATAAATTTTCTGATACTTGCTAGTCTAATACTTCAGGAACAGTTTCAATCAATTTTGTAGCACCTGCAGGATAGTCCTTATCAGATAATCTCAACATCCACGTATTCTCATTTTTGTTGACTTTTGGTATCACTTTCCATGTGGGTTGAGATTTTCATGGTTCTTTGTATGTTGAGAAATTCTGGACACATTGTATTCTGGACAGTGTTCAGTATTGTATTTTTAAGCTCTGGACTCTATTTAAATCGCAGTGAGAATGTTGATACTTTTTTCTAGCCATCTGTGGGCCATGGGTTAATGTTAATTCCGTGTTCAAAGACTGTGCAGTGCTATTTAGATTTGCTTCATTTGTGTCACCCGCTACTGCTCATCTGCTTCCAGGCAGAATTCTCCCAGTTCCTTAAGTGTTAGGTAGTTAACTTGGGATCCAAGTGTGCACAGCTTAGCAGTGAGAGTCACAGTACTGAAAAACAATGCAATAGGCTCGTTTTCTCAAATTCCTCCATCTCCAATAAATTCTAATTCCCTGGTTCCTTATTCTGGTCCTTTATGCAATTGCTGCCCACTTCCAAAGAATAAGGAAACAACAATCAGAAAGCACAACACCAGATATTTTGACCTTATCATCTTGGAATTCCAAAAGGAAATAAGAATGTCCTTGGCACCTGAGTTTTGACTTTTTAGGGTCCTTTCTTGACTGCATCTGCTGGTGCCACCACTTGGGCAGAACACCAATTAACAAGGAAGAGAGAAAAATGGAAAAGGGATTGACCATGCTCTTCAGCACTGGGAGTCACCTTTCCCATTCAGTGAGCGAGAATTCCTGGGTCTCTGTACAATAGCCATCACGCGTTTCGAATTGTGTTGAAGTTAGTGCAGTGCAGTCTGGGGATGCGGGAGGAAGGGAAGAGAGGCAGGTTCACTACTGGTTTGGTAGTACTTCCAATTCCAGTTACTTATACCAGACTGCTACTGATACTTCTCAAGCTTTTCAAATATGAGGGTACTTCAAGAGTTCATGGAAAATGGAATTTAAAAATAGTCTATTTTGGTGCAGTTTTGAAATGAGAGATTAGTCTTTTATTCCCCCATATTTTATGCCTTTCATGAACATTTTGAAGACCTTTTTTCTGCACATGGTTTCAGTTTACCTATGCTTTATAGTTAGATAAGAGGGAGGCAAGAAGTAGTATATATTTATTTTATAAATATATACTATCATATTTATATTATATATTGTTATTATTATATTTGTAACAGTCCACAAGCCAAACATCAAACTGACTTTTTGTGTGTTTTCCACCCATTTTATTTATTTACTTGGGTGGTAGAGATTGACAGAGAACTCAGTGGCAGGAATCTTGGGTCAAGAGCCAGAGCCAAAAGCTGAACCCAGCTACTCTGGAGTAGAACACAGGCAACTTAACCACTAGGCTAAATGCATGCCCCTAATACTTTATTTTTCTGTAAGATTTATTTATTTAAAAGGCAGAATTAGAGCGAGAGAGAAGGAGAGACAGAGATCTTCCATGTGCTGTTTAACTCCCCAAATGGCCACAACGCCCGGGGCTGTACCAGGCTGAAGCCATGAACCAGGAGCTTCTTCTGGGTCCCCCATGTGGGTGCAGGGGCCCAAGAACCTGTGCCATCCTCCACTTCAGGGAGCTGGACTGGAAGTGGAGCATCTGGGACTCAAACTGGCACTTGTATGGTATTCACCAATGTATGGAATGGTATGCACTGTCCCCAGTACTTCAGCAATGAAGAAAGGAAGACAAATTGCAGTTTACAAATTTAAGTACAATATAGAAAACATACTAGGAAACTTATAATATTGAAATTCACAAAGTTTCAAATTTAAATCGTGACTGTAGTCCCTCATAGCTGCATCACATTAGTCAGAACACTCCATGAATCTCATTGTCAGGCTCTCATTTCCAGAAAGGGGAAAAATACCAATATTGTAGGATATGAAACTTTAACCTCCTTACATTTTGCTACAAACAACCAGCAATTTCCAAAAGTGTATCTTGTTCTTGCCAAAGCTTGTTTTCTTTAATGAGGTCCTTCCTGATTTCATTACATATAATCTTTAATCAATCCCAACATATCACATGGATTCTAATGTTTCTCATATTTGGTATTTTATTCTTATTATATCACACAAATGAGAAAAAAACATTAAGTGAAAGTCCTATTCCTAGTGTTATTTATTCCATCTTAAAAATGATCAGTATAAAGATACAGCAACATTTCAGGTTTCAGTTGCATAGGCTTGTGCATGCATAAGCAGGCCCAAAGTATGTTCAAATGTAGAATAAAAAGGAACATAAAGCAAAATATTTAAAATGATCTATATTTATCATAAAAACTTTCTATGAAAGAGTATGGATCCTGATTAAAAAAAAAGATGGAAATCGCATTCCCATTATGCAAAAGTAAAATAGCATGGATGGGTCCCAATAGCTCTTAATATTACACAATTTATCACTGGTTTCTTCACAAAAACAACCCCTAAGCAAGTATATTTGTTCCTTTAAAGTTACGACACTTCATCAACCTAAATTCTTTGGGAACTTTTCCCATGTTCAAAGTACTATTACCAAATCCTCCTTCCTAGCAACAAAGTGATGTTTAATAAGTAGTATTACATGGTAGCTCAAGATTGCCATTAATATCTCTCCTTTGATCTAATGTTTCCTATTGTTCATTCTGAAAGTCGGCTTTCCCCACAAGCAAAACATAAAAAATATAATTTTCTGATCTTTACAGGCACTGAAGAGATTAAAATTTAAAAAAAAAACGTCATAATTGCAATAATAGAAAGAAAATATATGATTTAAAAAATGTAGCAGCTGATTGACTTCAGTATTTAATGCACATTTGTTATTTAAATTATAATGTTTGCATTTTATGGTAATTGAGGTGAAGCAAATCTTCTTTAATCTTACATTTAATTCATATTCATAAATAGATGCAGTTGTAGAATGCGAGTATAATGAGTCACATTTTATATTCCTTTTCCAAATAATTTTCATAAATGCATTATTTATAAGTGTAGGTGTTTGCATTATTCCTTTTTGAGGTGGTTATCTTGTCTGGATTGATAACATATTCACAGCTCACAGAGCAAAACCTGACCCCTCTAAGTCTCAGTAAGTCTTACTCTCATTCTCCCCTGGTCAAATATACTGGCAATCACATTATTAAAAAGGCAATTATTATTATTTAGCATACTCTATTTATTGAAGTAGAGCTGCTTTCATTCTTCCATTGTAATTAAGATACTTCAAGATACCAGATAATTTGCATTTAATTTTCTCTCTAATACTGCAAGAAATCTGAATGTAGTAACATAAAAAAAAAAAATCTTAAAGCATTTAGATTGACTTCACATTCACACAGTTAATTGGAGGAAAGCATGAATGTTACCTAAAAATATCAGCACTTACTATGATTTTTTTTCTATTCTTTATTCCTTACTCCTTAGAAATATTATTTTAAGGAATGTTTGTTAACTATACATTAAGATACTTTGAAAGAGGTAAAAGAGTTTAATATTATAAATA